CCCCAAAACCCCAAAACCCCAAAACCCCAAAACCCCAAAACCCCAAAACCCCGCTTGGATGTAGGTATATTGAAAGGTGTTTTTGGGCTATTGTAGAGTGTATCTAGGAGTTTTGGATAGTTTAGAGTCCTTCAAGTTCGACCTTTGTGAATCCTTCCGTGGTGAGGACCTGGTCTACTGTTTCTTTGGTGAGGCCGCAATCTCCGAGGCAGAGGGTCCATTTTCTTTCTCTAATGTCTTCAACTTTGGAGAAGCCCTTCGTTAGATTTTTGAATCTGAAGGCATCTGATTCTCCCCATTTGCTATAATCGAGACCTCCAGTACAGAAGAAATCAAGTTGCCTAAAAGAGGAGCCATCAAGACGAGTGCCAAAATCAACTTCGGTTTCTGTGTCAATGTAGCAATATCGGATCCGGACACATTGACAGTTCTTTCATGCTACTAGGAGGTCTTCAAATTGGGCCTTGCTTAACTCCAAATAATACAAGCAGATTAAATTTGGGATCCTAGGTAATACCTTTTTAAGCGTCTCCATGTAGTATTGTGTTGACTGTTTAGAAGACCTCTTGAAGTCAAAGATGAACCTCTTGATGTTTTGTGTCAGTGCATTCTTCATGAATCTGTTAACCACCACAGGCTTGTTAAAGCTATACAGAAAGTCGAGATAGACCTGGTTGAACTTTGGGAGTTCAAAGCACTGTAGGTACTTTAAAAGCGCCTGATCCTTTACATTGCTAAGGTTTAGATTCAAATCTGAGATTTCCGTCACATGGACGACCTGTCCTAGTACAGATTGGTATATTCTCTCATATTCTGAATGAGTGAGAACGTTCTTCGAACTTTCAAATTGGTCTTGTAGGTTGGCATATTCAGCCTTGATCTCCTCAATCTGAGAGATAAGTTTGTTCTTCTCCTCAGCAGTGGAGTTTAATGTATCATTAAGCTGCTTAATCTCCTGCTGCATTTGAGAGTGCTTGGTCTCTGTCTCTGTTTTGTGTTGTTGAAAGTTTTGAAAATCTTTTTCAAAATTCTCTTTGTCCTTTTCAAGATCTTCTATAATCTTTCTTCTCTGTTCAGCTAGTAGGTTGGCCTGAACTAGTTTTAGCTTGAGAGGGCACTCATCTTTGTCTCCAATCTTTCTGCGACGTTCTGCGAATTTTACATTGGTCAAGGTGGTCCTTCTGAAGAGCTTGTCATCTTCGTCAGAAGTTTCGTCGATCTGTTGCCTGAACTGTCTGCATTGGAGTTGCCGATTGTATTGCTTCATCAGATCAGAATCAAAGATCTGGTTTAATAGGTTATTTGGAGTTTTTGTCGATATCATATAGCTTATCCCATGCTTGCTTATCGACTATTCTTTGAACTCTATTCTTAAGGTTCAGGTAATCCTCCCGGAAGGACTTAAGCTTTGGGGTCAACTTTCCCCAAGCTTGTTCAAGCTTATGCTTCACTCTGAATAAATTTATCTTATCAAGCTGGTATTCTGCTAAAGATACGTGTAAATTTGGATATTTTAATGGGAAATTGAGGGATAATCTACAGATTTTGGAAAGTTTTAGCTAATACTTCTCCTATCGGCCTACAATAGAAAAATCTTCTAAAACCGCCTGTAAAGCAGTGTTTAGAGAGTTTAGGGACAATTTAGGGCTTACCACATCTCAGTCACTCTTTAATTGGTTCTACCTCTGGAATCATATGAGTCTCTTCTCCAGAATAGAGAGTTCCTGCACAGATTGCACAGACTCAAATATCGGAGGCAAGACTACTATCTTTACTGTTCTTAACCACATGAGTGATGGTACCTCAGCTCTCTGAGGACTGACATTTTGGAAACTCGGCCATCCTTTCAAATATTTTGTAGAGCTAGGGGTTTTGGGGTTTTGGGGTTTTGGGGTTTTGGGGTTTTGGGG